GCTTTGCCGATGTAAAATATGTGTGATTTTTTTTTTTCAAAACCTCTCACTGGAAAATGTCATGATGCTTTTTCTGACCTTAGGTCTCAGGTCGGGGCTCAGAAATAAATGAATATACACTAGAAACCAAAGGAAATGAAAATAACAACAATAATAATAACAAAAACAACAATCTGACGAACCGTACTTATTCTTTTTTCAAAACAAACAGCATTCTTCCGCTGGAACAGAAAGGATGCAGAAGAGGTTCATATGTCTGCAAAGATCAAATATATCCTGATAAATAAAATGATCCTGGAAAATTGCAGGAGACGACGTAAAAATCTTAGCGCAGCGTGGATTGATTATCGTAAAGCCTTTAATAGTGTTCCACATTCTTGCATCCTTAAGACTTTGGAAATATACAAAGTCTCCCTTGTGGTATTAAATTTCCTTAAGTACAGTATGGAAATGTGGAACACCAAACTATACCTTAATCCCACCAGAGGCACTGCCATGTCCAACCGTCTAAATATCCGACGTGGAATCTTTCAAAGAGACTCTCTGCCACCCCTTCTGTTTTGTTTATCCTTAATCCCTCTTATGCATGAACTGAACAACAGCAGCTATGGTTACAAAATGAATAAGAAAATATTCAATCACCTACTCTACATGGATGATCTCAAACTCTTTGCCAAAGACGACAATGAGTTGAAAGGCCTCCTCAATATTGCAAACTACTTCAGTGACGACATAGGTATGGACTTCGGATTAGATAAATGTGCAAAAGTAACATTCAAGAAAGGTAGAATTACAAAAACACCCTTCATAGATTTACATTTTGTCACAAAGATTAGGGAACTGGAACATGATGAAGCCTATAAGTACCTAAGAATTAGCAGAGGAGATGGCATACAACACCCTCAAATGAAGGAGAAGGTAAGAAAGGAGTACTACAGGTGTGTACGCCTGGTACTAAATACCGAGCTAAGCTAAAAAAAAAATAGAATATCAGCCATAAACACCTTGGCTGTCATCATCCCAAAGCTGATGTTGATCGTCTGTATGTGCCCATAGGAAGGAGGCAGAGGATTAGTTCAACTAGAACTGTCCTACAAAACTACAACAATTGGCCTCCAAAGATACTTGGAAACTACAGAAGATTGGATGATGGTATGCGTCAAGGAACATGAAAGTAGTAAGCGTCTTTACTCCGTAATAAAGGAGGCCAACAAATTCAAAATGGAATTTGAAACGAGCGCAGAAATACCAGTAAAGCACAATGCACCGGCGGAAGCTACAAATACTTAATAAAGAAAGCAAAGACAAATGCAACCGACCAGATACAGAAACAATGGCAAGATAAACCGCTTCATGGCCAATACTCGGCCCATACCAAACAAGCTGACGTGGACATAACCCGTACCCTTCAGTGGCTATGTAGTGCAGGGTTGAAAACTGAAGCTGAAGGTTTTATACTTGCTGCACAGGACCAATGCTTGTTAACTAGGAATTATCAAGCACATATTCTAAAATATTGTGTTAGCCCAAAATGCAGATTCTGTGATAAATATCCAGAAACGATTGATCATCTTCTATCAGATTGCACGATATTGGCACCCACTGAGTATAAAACCCGGCATGACAGAGTGGTTCAATATCTGCACTGGAAAATCTGCAACTTCTACGGGAAGGAAACTGAAAGAAAATGGTATGAACACCACCCAGACACAGTGACTACACAATACACAGTGACGGAACAATCAAAGCCAACCGCCCAGACATTGTTATTAAAGACCACAAACAAAAAAAAGTGCCTCCTTATTGATATGGCAGTCTCTGCAGACTGCAATGTATCTTTGAAGATATTCAAAAAGCTGTCAAAATACAAGGACCTTGAAATCGAAATCTCAAAAATGTGGCACATGTGAACATCAACAATCCCTGTTGTAGTTGGAGCCCTAGGATTGGTTGGAAAAGAATCCAGTAGACTAATTGAAGGGATTCCTGGAAGCCCATGCCTCAAAGAAATACAAAAGATTGTTCTCACAAGTACAGCTCACACTTTACGAAGGGCTTTATCTATGTAATTTTTTTTTTTTTTTTTTTGTCAGTGGAGAGTGTTATGATGCTATTTTTAACCTCAGGTCCCTGGGCGGGACCCGGAAAGAAATGTGTAAACGCCAGAAATCAAAGGAAATAATAATAATAATAATAATAACCAAGCGGACTATAACATAGCAACCAAGGAATTTGAAAAAAACTATCGATCTTGGAATCGAAATAGAGAAAAATGTGGAAATGAAAAACAAGAATAGTACCAAACATCGTAGGTTCTCTTGGAAGCATAAAAAAAAAATGGAAGACAAGAAGACATTAAAAAAAGGTCCCTGGAAGTCCCAGCTTACGAAATTGTCTTGATAAGTACACACATACGAAGAAGAACTCTGTCCATGTAACGTTAGAGATGTTATGAGAATTAGAAAAACAAATCATGAAATGTAGTCATAGCAACACACAACTACCTGCCTTAGTTCATCCCGCACACTTGGTAGATAGTGTGACCATAGAAGAAATCGAATAATAATAATAATAATATAATACGAAACTGTATTCAGTGATAAAGAAAGTCAACAAATTCAAAATGGAATATCAAGTGAGTAAAGAAATTTAAGTTAAAACATAATACACGTACAGTAGCCGCAAACAACTTTAAAAAGAAAGCACAATCAAATACAATAGATCTGATACAGAAACGATGGCAAGATAAGCCTCTTCTTGATCAATATTCTGCCAAAGACCAAACAAGCTGATGTAGACAAACCCCGTACCTATCAGTGGATACGTAGTACAGGATTAAAAGCTGAACCCCAAGGCTTTATTCTTACTGCACAGGGCCCATGTTTGCTAACTAGAAATTACCAAGCACACATACTGAATAATTGTATTAGCTCAAAATGCAGATTCTGTGATAGATATCCAGAAACAATTGACTATCTTGTATAAGGTTACGCGGTATTGGCGCCAACTGAACATAAAACCCGGCATGACAGAATAGTATACAACTTTTACGGAAGGGAAAATGCAAGAAATGAACATCACCCAGACCCGGTTACGGAGTTAGGGCTTGTAATAATTTTATAGGACTTTACAATACACACAGACAAAACAAAGCACAGACATCGTGATAAGAGAACCCCACCCACCGCCGCCAAAAAAAAATTCTTAATTACATTCTTGACATGAGAGTCTCTACAGAATGTAATGATTCTTTGAAAATCTTCAAAATAAAACTATCAAAATACAAGGACCTTGAAGTGGAAATTTAAAAAATATGGCACACAGGGACATCAATAATTCTAGTTCTAGTTGGAGCACACAGATTGGGAAAGGTTCCGATAGACACATTGAAGAAATTCCTGGTAGCTCAAGCCTTAAAGCAATACAAGAATCTCTCCTCACAAGTACAGCTCACACATTACGAAGGGCCTTATCTATGTAAAATGTGTTAGGTCTTAGGTTTTATTTTATTTTATTTTTTCTCAAAAAAATGTCCATTGGGTAATATCATGATGACATCCTGACCTTAGTTCACTGATTGGAATCCGGAAAGAAATGTGTATACAACATAAATCAAAGGAAATAAAATAATATTTCGACGCTGTCGTAGGTCAACCGTCGCCGAGATTATGCAGTCAATGTCAACATCACGATCTTCTCAAGGGGAGTTTTTTATGTCCTACACCAGGGCGACATAGGATTTAGAATTGTTCTTCTCTTTGGCTGGTTCCCACCCACGGCTAGAGACCCAAGTCTAGCATGTTATTTAACCCGTATGGGTGGTGAAGAGATGCATTCATACCATTCATATTGCTATTTGTGCGAACGTGTATGCAAAAAACTCGAATATATATATATATAAAAAATAACTAATTCATCGAGTCTAGAATATCCCTCAACGGAATGCACTGGAGGACCGTTTCGTCCTATATTTAAAATTTATCTGCAGTGAGCATCCACTACCTAGAATTGAAACCCGGGCAGTTACGGTACCAGGCTAACGCCATACCAAATGGACTATCGGCCTTCAATACCTGGTTAAGGCAGTGGAGAAACTTGGAGAGGGGAATTAACAGGAGATAACTGATAACTGACATCCATTAGACATGGCAAGTGAAAATATATCAGCCTACCCCAGTGAGCGAAATAAAGTGTTCAGTTCGACATTCCAACCACCTGAAGAAGGCCAGAGCGTACAACGGCCGAAACATTGTAATAAATATGGCGACAAAGATGAGGACAATAGTCCGAATAATATAAATAGTGTACATAATACCTCATCTCAGAAATATAGACAGATACTGAAAGGCCGAAACTTTGTAATAAATATGGCGACAAAGATGAGGACAATAGTCCGAATAATGCAAATAGTGTACATAATAACACATCTCAGAAATAAAGACAGATACTGAAGAAAGAACTAATATCCTAACAGGCTAAATCTTATTTACATTCGGACTAATGTTCTCGTGTTTGTTGTAATTATTAAAATATTTTAGCCTTTTGCTCTCCGGCCTTCCTCAGGTGCCCGCCGGTCCAGGTAAGTTTCAGAGAAGTTGACTCTTTATGTAAATCTACGGGGATAGATAGATCTCCATCCGCTGTATATTTCTTGTTTTTCAATTTTTAGTACGGCTCACTTACTGCACACCCTGTTTCCACTCGGTCTAAGTCTGTACTACCCGACTCAGGAATTGAATCCACAATTATTCTGGCACCAAAGTCCCCAAAAAACGATGTAATCCAGTAGGCTATCGTGTCGTATAGAGTGGGAAAAACTATCTACACCGTCTTAAATATATCTTTTTTATCTACCACGATCACTTCATTATCTATCTATCTATCTATCTATCTATCTATCTATCTATCTATCTATCTATCTATCTATCACAATCTCTTCATTGACTATCTCAGTCTCTTTATATACATTATATTATATATCTACCGATGCCAATCTCATCATGATCTATCTATCTATCTATCTATCTATCTATTTATCTATCTATCTATCTATCTATCTATCTATCTATCTATCACTTCATGATCTATCTATCTATCTATCTCTTCATGATCTATCTATCTATCTATCTATCTATCTATCTATCTATCTATCTATCTCAGTCGCTTTATGTATTTAGCTATTTGCCTCAATATCGTCATTTCTCTCTCTCTCTCTCTCTCTCTATATATATATATATATATATATATATATATATATATATATATATATATATATATAAATATAATCTTCATTGTGAGTCGGACACGCCTCAGTACTGGTCTGGTTTTCAATCCACCCAACAGACGCATTGATTTATCTGTGCCAAGCGGAAATATAAGAGCAGGTAAATGTAATGTTTTAGTATTAATGCCAAACGAATGAAAACAGGTTCGCTCCTCACTATGTGCCTCATACTTTGGATCTTACGTAAATAACCAATGTAGATGATAAATCGTTAGTCGGTTTATTTTTAGCGAAAGAATAACTGAGATGAAAAAAAAAACCTAAGGAGCAAAGATGGCGCCCATACAGAGCTCTTTTTTGAAAAAAAGTATGTTGAAAGACTCTAAATTGACAAGAAAATTCAAAAACACCACAGAAATAATTCTTGTGAATTTCTGGATTTACCGTTATTTACATTCCTACTAATATCCTCATCTTTGTTGCTACTATATCAACGATTCAGCCTTTGTTCCTTCCGGTATTCTTCGAGTGTATTTCGATCTGTGTACCATTCTTTGAATTTCATCTATCTATCTATCTATCTATCTATCTATCTATCTATCTATTTCAATCTTTTCATCATTTAATCTACGGAAATAGACCGTTCTCGTTCCGTAGTCCATGTTTAGGGATATTGTTGCCTTCATCTTCTTTTATGTGGTGCGTCCCTTGAGGGCGTAGGTGATCATGGCCCTCCACTTTCCCCTATCCTCGGTAGCTCTCAATATATTTTGTCCTTTTGCTGCTTCTCCCAGATTCTGTTCTGCCATCCACTTGCTTACACCTGCTAGGTACGCTACGCGTTGCTTTCTCTTGTCTTCTTTTCCCTCTAACCTCCTTGTGACTATCAGATTCTCCAAACCCTCCTTTCTCATTACGTGTCCTAGAAATTTCAGCTGCCTTTTCCTGATGTTAACTATAAGCTTCCTCCTTGTTTGCATCCTCTCAAAAAACCCCATAGTTGTTCACAAGTTCCGTTCATGGTATACTTAGCATCCTTCCGTAGAACCATACCTCCTTTGCCTCGAGTCTCTTCTTCATCTTTGAGGAGACCGTCCAACTTTCACTGCCGCAAAGGAGGGCAGATATCATGTAGCAGTTCAGCACTCTTTTCTTTGGTACCAAAGAAATCCTCCTGTACTCGTAATACTAGCATTTGGAATGCGTCATTGGTCATCCCAATACATCTTCGGACCTCAGCGTCACACTCACCGTCCTCTGTCAGGACACTTCCTAGATATTTAAGTTGCTTGATTTTAGAGTCCCCGACCTACCTAGCTTTTGGAATGCATCTTTGGCCATCCCAATACATTTTCGGATCTCAGCTTAGCACTTACAGTCTTCTGTCAGACCATTCCCTGATATTTAAATTTCCGCATCTGCTTGATTTGAGTGTACCCGACCTGCCTAGCATTTGGAATGCATCTTTGGCCATCCCAGTACGTTTTCTGATCTCAGCTTCGCACTTACCGACTTCTGTCAGAACATTTCCTGATATTTAAATTTCCGCATCTGCTTGATTTGAGTGTACCCGACCAGTAAATCGCATTTCGGGCTTATCTTTTTACTGATGATCATGCATTCTGTCTTCTTGTAGTTTATTCTTAGTTCCTTTTTCTCTCTCTGAAAACCATGAGCCGATTGTAGCAGTAAGGAAATCTTATTCGATTATAACCTTCGGTTGTATACGAGCGAGACAAAGGTGAAGCGGAAACGAGACGGGGATGGCAACAGTCTAGCGGGCGCGTCTTCCTTTTAGGTACGGTGAGCGGTATATTGTACCTTGCTGTCCGGTCTCTCTGAGTCTCTGTTTTCGGCTACGCCCCCATATATTGGTGACAAAATGAATTTTGTAAATATTACTAATAATAGTTGAATCAATAAATTTTTTACCCTGTTTACATTGTTTGGAATGTCGTCCTCATCTTTGTTGCCATATTTACGACGTTTCCGCCGTTACAGTCTTCTTCAGGTTATTGGAATTTTCTTAAGAAATAATAGACAAAGTACCTCACTGGAAAATACGAAAACTTAACGAATCAGTGAATATACTAGGCCACAAAAATCTCCTAAACTGGCCAAGCATAGGCATGAATACAGTATAGGAACCAGTAATACAGAGTGCTATAGAAAATCAACAATAACAAACATTGTAATATGAGCTCTGGTAAAAACAAAATTGTTACTGAGACATTAGAATTATAGGTCCCCAAAATTCACGCACTGATGTCCTCAAAGGCACAGGGCCCAGTACATAAAAGCGTTGGTTGAAATAATCCATAGACTCAAAGTGTGGTGAGTTCAATACCTAACTACAGCTGAGGTGAACAGAACCTTGGGGAGTTGAGTTAAACTGATACTATATTATCCGGAAGAGGCATGGTACGTGCTTGAAATAAAGGGTTCGATTCGAAATTCAAATTACCTGAAGAAGGCCGAAGCTTACAATGACCGAAACGTCGTGAATATGGCAAAAAAGATGAAGTGAAAATACCTCATCAAATAAATATAGGTAGACAATTATATTTTACTTAAGCTTTTTTTTTATCTACTGTACATTTATAAATCATTTAAATAACAGTTAAGAGAAGCATGTTCCCCAAATTTCACTGGCGGACACAGCTATTTCCTTATATAGAGATATGCATTGAATGTCACCAATATTAGGCGAAGCAACTCAAAATGAAAATAAAACTGTCACCAATATCTGGAGACACGTCATAAACTGAAATGCCATGTGAACGGCTACTGAAAATCAAAAGATTAAACTTGGTCATTTTTTTTCTTCTTGTTTTTTTTCTTTCATCTTATACAAGACCCAAGAGGCACTCAAGGTAGAGGGTTACTGAAAGTGGTTGTTTGAGTGTTGAGTCTGAAGTTTATGACGATATATGGAAAGATAAAGATTAACTCTAGTTTTGAAGAGGTTGAAATTATAGTGGTTGCGAAAGCATCATCTCGGGTGTCATTTCCACAAAACAGCGATTCATGGGAAGAAGCTGTCCGAGAGAAACTTCTTTCTTACTAATGGAATATAAAGGGAATGGTGACGATTCGATTCGGTGTACGTGGCATGTTGGTTTCTTGTCTGTGAAGGTCTACACTGATGAAACCATCAATAGAGCAGCGGAAGGCTTAAGACGTTTCGTTTGTGGGAAAGAGGTTGTAGGGTGGAAAATAATTCATCACCCACAAAGTTGGCGCAAGTGCTATCAAGGCTAGTCAGACAGGATTGAGAATTCTAGACCAGATATGGTAGCAATATTCAATTTTTGATCTGATCTGCTCACATGTAACGTTTCGTCTGCAGGAATGAATTGTAGGCTGAAAATAATAATGTAAATAATCTATAAATAATGATATATATATATATATATATATATATATATATATATATATATATATATATATATATATAATATTTATAAATATATATATATATATAAATATATATTATAAATTGATTTATTTAAAATATGTTTTTTTTTCGCAACACTTACTGTTCTTTTCTTTTTTATATATATATATATATATATATATATATATATATATTAATACATGTTTCATTAAATAATATATACAAGTTTTGTCTATTTATTTTAAATAAGTTCCTTTTATATTGTCTGATAAGCTTAATAACATTATCATTGAAAGACGAAAGAAATCACCATATTGATACATGTTTAAATCCAATCAATATGGTGATTTCATTTCGTCTTTCAATGATAATTTTATTGCTTATCAGACAATATAAAAGGAACTTATTTAAAATAAATAGACAAAACTTGTCTTTATTATTTAATGAAACAGGCATTAATGAAAAATTGCTGCTTAAATATACAATATATATATATATATATATATATATATATATATTATTATTATTATTATTTATTTAAAAATATCATTCCAAAACGCTACATAAGAAGTCTCATGTTTCAAAACAAGAGCCGAAAACTTCAATATAATTATTTAAATTAAATTGAGTCAAAATAAGCTCTGTTCCATCTTCAAGCGAATTTTTTTTTTTGGAATAACGTATATCTGAAATTTACGTGTTTTAAAAATTGAAATCAAAATTTCCATGGTAACAGCTAGGGCGAATTGTTTAAATTGGGTAGGCGAGTGTTGGGTGTTAATAATATGTATCAGTATAGAGTTACTTTCATAGATTAGAGTTACTTTCATAGATTATATATATATATATATATATACATATATAATAATAATAATAATAATAATAATATAAAATAATTAATCTCTCTTAAAAATTTGTGAAGTATCAGCTCCAAAAACAGACAAAAATCGTACTTTCTTTTGATTGTAACATTCAATGTTTTTTCTCCCTCTACAATTTCTACAGTACTCACTGTTATTTTCGACGGATAGAGTCTGCAAACACAGGCCCACTGACCTCTTCATCAGTCCCATCAATTCATATAGTGTTTATTTCTGGGTTAAAAGTAACTTAATAAGTTCATTCGGTGCTTCTTCATTACCAAGATCGTTATTAGATATTTCAAAAAGACACGTCGGCTATTTGTCTTTATTCAAACCCCGTTTACATGCAACAGACGATTAATTTATTTTGAAAGAAGATAACAATCAACAAAAATAACGATAAAAGTGCGTTATGAAATGAATTCTTTTTTCTTTTCTTTGATGAGACAATATTACTTTCTAGGCGAAAGACCTAGGCGTAGTTCCGGGCAGAAGTGAAGTTATTTAACTGGAGGCTAAAGTTACTTGGAGCCTGCTTGTGATATTTCGAAAAAGAATAAAATAATGTCGAATATTAAATTAATTTTTTATATTATCACAGTAACTATATATATATATATATATATATATATATATATATATATATATATATAAAAGAAATATGTTGTAGTGGTTCCAACGAGAGAAAAGTATGTATATTAAAAAGAAGAGAAGAGAGGTGCTGCAAACCTAGAAAGAAATTCGGATTACCAACACACAAACAGAGAATGTCTCATATCGAGAAAATTTCACATTGAACATGAAGAAAAATTAATTATTTTTAATAATATGTAGAAATCTCCGCTTTTACCTGAAGACGGTCGCGAGACCAGAAACACGTGTCGTAAAATTATGTAAAACAAAGCATAATATTTTTTCTAAATAAATCCACATTACAACCAAAAACGTTTGCGGCACCTCTCTTCTCTTCTTTTTAATATATATATATATATATATATATATATATATATATATATATATATATATATATATATATCAAATATGTAGTGCAGTTTAATTTATATTATAATGAATCATTCATACAAAAAAGTAAATTAGTAAAGTTAATGAGATAAAATGGTGAATTCACTTCGCTAACAAAATTTTAAAGATGCATTAACCCAATAACAACTCGATGAATGTTATGATCCTTGTTTTGTTTTTTTTCTTTACTGTTTGTTTACTCTGGCCTTATATATATATATATATATATATATATATATATATATATATATATATATACTAGCATCATGGCCCGGCGTTGCCCGTGCTTGATTCAAAAATTGTACGACTCATACAGCAACCGCTATCACTTGACTTAAAATATTTTTGCCATTCCTTGC